GGGCGGTTAGAACTAGCTGATCTTTAAGGTCCCTCCTAACCCAAACCATTCTATGATTCTATGATTTTATCATTACCTTTTTGTCCAGTTCAGCAGTCAAGAAGACTGTGGATGCAGACAGCTCTACTGACGTCTTCTTCCTCTTCCCTGCCTTTCTTTCCCTCCACGCATTGACAAGATCTTCTGGCTTGTTAGATGCAAACAACAAGCCAAAGATCTCAGTAGCTGTCAGCCAAACCCAGCTGTGAGGATACCACAGGTGAGACTGGACATGACCTGGGAGAAAGAAAACCTCTTTCAGCACAGGAGCTGGTCCAGCACAAGAAGAAGAACCAGGTCCCTCCAAGAATTACCACAGCACATGCTACAGTAAAAAGGTGAAGGAAACAAACTGCGCTCATCTGCTCAGAACATAAATAAAGATTTCCTAGCAACTCTATCCAGCGAAAGCAGAGAGTGGCAAAAAGCTACAGGTAGCCAAATGTCCTCATGGTAACCAGGCATTCTTGAATGCACCCACAGCACCTCCAAACATCCAAAGACAGAGCCATTGCTGGAAATCAATGGCAACTGGGCAGGAAAACTGGGCATGGCACAAAAAGACACTTGCTCCAATCCTGGCTGACAAGTCATGTTTCTGCAGCAACTACGGTCCCCTCAGGGACTCAGTGCCACCGCTCACCTGCCCATGATGTCTGGGTACTGGCTGCTGTGAGAGTGGGGGCCCTGCTGCAGATGGTCAGATTGAACCCCTGGATGGAGGGTGAGGACGCTTCAGAGAAGAGATGGAGCTGCCCTCTTATCTCGCTTCTGTCCAAGCTGCACATCACCAAGCAACCCAGGATTTACAAGGGTTATCGCCTATCTCACTCAAGGCACTTGGCAGGCTGAACTCTTTGAAGACATTAGCCACCCATACCCAGGCCTTCTGACTGCAGCAAACGAAGCAATTAAAAACAAGGCAACAAAATGCCAATAAGCCAGCCTGACATTGTACAACCTCACTCACAGGAAAACTGCTTGAATCAAATGAGTTCTAGGCCTTAACATCCTGGCAGACACACAGTATTTACAGCTCTAGTACCACGTGACATTGCTTGCTGGCTAGTATGTATGATCTCATCGAGAAAATCTCATCTTCCCAGAAGAGCTGAACGTTTTCATCCAAGAGGATGTAATTATGGTCAAACATGCAATAGTTTGCAACTATTTGCTCTTGGGATAATAGAAAATACATCCCAGCAACTGAGACGGAGGGCGTGTTCTTTTCATCAACTATGTAACCTTTTCCATTAACACCTTCTCTTTCACTGCCCAGTAACTGCCATATATTAGCATTTTGCAGCATGCAAATCTTGTACAATGACATTCAGTTGTTTATATTAGGGTGTGAAAAACCACACCGCACACAAAGAATCTTCCCTGTAATACAGCCATAATAATTCTTGATACTTACCCCAGATATTGCTCACAACATCACTGTTCTTGGTTAATTGAATCAAGTTGCACTCTGTGATTAGCTTTGTTACCAGCACAAGAAAGCTGAATAGCAGCCTGTCTGCAGCCTTCTCCTCCTCCTCTTCAGTTATCTAATAAAATCAGCAAGTCAAGAAAGATGCTTATGAGAACCCGAAGACAGTGCTTATTTATCCTACTAGATAGATTTCAGATGAACTGTGCAAAGAAACAGAAGACTGACTTGTACCCAATTCCCAAAATAAACAGAAGAGAAGCAGCTCCACTAAAGCATTTCCTCTGGAGACTGAATCTCTGCAGAAAATTATTACTACAATCATTCTTTTTTTTTTATACAGATGTTACTGTAACAAACTCTTACGTTTCTAAATGCAAGCAATTACACATACAATGTGTATAATTTTTGTCTGTACATGTATTCGTGCACATTTGATTCTCATTCTTAGAGCCAAGCTGAGCTCAGATTTGCCTGTGTCACATGGGAAGCCCCACGTTGTTACGACAACACTGTGTGCACTGTGTTTTACTAAATCAACCTGAGGTCCTCACCCTGCCTGCAGTCACCAGCTGGCTTAATATAACTAGTCAGTGCTTTACCTACATGTGGCAGCACAGGGGGCGATTACACTGAATTTCTCCTCGCTGCAGGTATTTTGTTTTCATCTCTTGCCAATTTACATACCCTGAGGTGGTTCTCTCTTGTTCAGCATGTTGCCCTTGCACATTAGTAACATACATGGCCACTCCCCAGGCACAGTGACTGGGATCTCTTTGGGATTACCACCCACCAAGCAGGATCCAAGGCAGCTTTATTATTCATAGAATCATAGAATGGTTTGGGTTGGAAGGGACCTTAAAGATCATCTAGTTCCAACCCCCCTGCCATGGGCAGGGACACCCTCCACTAGACCAGGTTGCCCAAAGCCCCATCCAACCTGGCCTTGAACACTTCCAGGGAGGGGGCATCCACAGCTTCTCTGGGCAACCTGTTCCAGTGCCTCATCACCCTCACAGTAAAGTATTTCTTCCTAATATCTAATCTAAATCTATCCTCCCCCAATTTTATTCTGAGTTAATCACATGCACTAAAAAGATTTTCCATAAAACAAAACCATGGTCTGAAGTAGAGGAAGGGAACTCCTTTGAAAGTTAAAGCTGTAAATGACACCTAACAAAGCAGAGAGTCACAAGCGATGCACTCCTGACCTTACACAAATCGCTGCAGCTAGCAGACACATTTCCCAGTTAAACAGATGTCAGTGTGATCGTCAGGCTGTTTTCCAACTAAACAGATTCTAACTCATCCCAGTGCTACCTGTGCACCCTGCTATTCTTTCTGATGGTGGTTTTTATAATGCCACTTTAAACAAAATACCGAACTCCCTCCTCTCCTGCCACCACATGAAAGACCACGCTACGTGCTGTCAACCCACCAAGTCATACAGGTAAAAACCAAAAACCTGAGACTTGAGAGCTGTCTCAAGAACCCCTTCCACCCACAGAGATCTTGACAGAGGCTGGGGCAAGGAGCAACATATCTGCCAGTTACACAGTACGTCTGCAGGCTCAGGCCAGGTGGCTTTGAAAAGTTCCTTTGCCCCTTGTGCTGTGACACGACATCAAATATGGGCTTACAGACAAAAATTACGGTTCTAGGTCAGTGAGGACCCCTTCAGAACAAAAGTGTGTGTTTTGTGTCTTTTCTCAGTCCCAAACAGTAGGTCCAACTGTTAAATCTCTCCTAAGCTTCTTCCCCTTTTTCTGTTTTCTTAATTCTCTTTCCCCAAGCCTCACACGAGAAAAATTACTTACGTCTTCAAATTTAGTCGGGTTGATTTCTTTTTCAATCAAGGTGAGGACAGCTTCAAGCCGCCGTTCAAACATTACTCCCTCCACTTCAACAAACAAACCGCATGCCTGGGCAGCCAACCTCCTGTGTGAGCTCTGCCAACAGAAAGATTAACGCCTCTTGTTACTTCTTGATAACCCAATCCTGCAGCTCCCACGTGCAGGAGCTGGTAGCAATCCTTAACTTTTGCCTCTAGCAACAGCATCTTAAGAGAAACTGGTTTTCAAAGTATTTTTAAAAAAGGAGATGCTGCCAGGTAGGGACAAAAGCACCTGGCAGCACAAGCTATCCCTGGAAACACACCCTAAAACTGAAATTCGAAAGGTCTTTTCCAGTCCAGTTGCCAGCTGCAAAGCTCTGAGGGCTACTTTGCACTCTTTGATTCTTCACAACACAACATGCGGCCCACAGCCGAAACCAGAACTGAACATACTAGAGATGAAAAGGATGAAGTGTTGAGGAACACTTACTCCACTAGTACAGAGGGACTGAACCTGAGTCTTGTTTGAGAATAACTAAGTGCTGAGGTACCCAGACCAAAATGGGAGGTCTGAAAGACTAGGTTTACCACCCTCCAGCTGCTAGCAACAGATTGAAGCAAGTCCGAGCTAAAGACAGCATGAAAAGCCAATTACTGGGAGCAGAAGTGCTTTAAGGAGCTTGCTCAAACCTTTAACCTGAGCAAAGATTACACTTGGTGAAATACCTGACCCAAAAGAGGGACTGTTAAAGAGCAGCGCAACGCAGCTGGGAAGACTGTAGACTGACCTACAGCAGCAGCAGCAGTTCCCTACATACACGCAGTTATACGAAGCTATATAATTTCTTCCTCTTCTTACTAGCAAGAGCTATAGTGCTGAGCACAGCTTTAAAGAGCTTTTATTCTAAGCTGAATCTTGCTCATACTCCTTTCCTAAAACTACTAAGTCAGGCATAACTGAACCCACCAATCCACTAGACCTGGTATGAGCAATCTCTCACGTGCCTTAATCTTACTCAGCCCCCAAACAGAGTCCAGACATGGTCAGTGAAAAGACCAAAGAGTACCTTCTTGCTGTGAAACCACTCTGTGACCAGTGAAAACATCAGATCTTGTTTTTCATTGTTTATCTTACTGAGCAGAGATTTACACGTCAAAGCTGCCATCTTTTTGCATTTGGCAGAGTCATCATTTATCATCATCATACAGAGAGAGAGAAAAAACAGCCCGCAGTATTTGTGGAGGAGATCCTAGAAAGAAACAACCATTAGTCAACTGCACATCCCCCAGGAACTTCTGGCATTTAAAGGGGAAAAAGAGGGCTATTTGTTGCACAGCATATAGGAACAGTGTCAGCCCTGAGTGGGGTCCACGTCAAGGCAGGTGAACTGAAAGGACAGGCTGATCCAGTTGTTGGAGCCCACAGGGAGCGTACAGCAGCCCCAGCCCTGCTCTGACTTGTGAACATGTCCCTGGGACAGCAACGTGTCAAACCTTAAAGGGCATTTTCATGCCCAACTCTCACTGAAGTCCCTCAGTGCAATCAGCCTAACAGTCCTTCTCTCTGAGATATCAGCCCTTTGCTACTTTGCAAAGTTGCTGGGAACCAAGTTGAGATACTAAATCTAATCAGGCGGTGGTGAAGCACAGCTTACTGTGCAGAATTTCTCTTCCTTCCTCCCAAATTCTTGCTTGATTGCACTTCTCTCAGTCTCCTGAACGCTCATCAGTCAAGCTCCAGCTGCAGAGCTTTAAGGTAGCTTAGCATTTTGCATATGTTACCCTGCATAGATGCATGGATATTTTTCAGCTTTCATTTTGACCCACCCCACTGAGAAGTCCTCCCTCTCAAGTCAGGCCAACAAAACAGATATAGTACATCACATGTTCAGTCAACAACATCCCTCATGTTGAAAAACCCCCACAATCAGAAAACTCTAGACTTTATTTTCTATTGACATTCCATTTCCGAAACTGCTTGTGTTTCTTCCTGGCATAAATCACCATTAAGTTTATCCAAACTCCAGTTGACAGAGCTCTATTTTACTTGCAGACCGAGCACATTAGATAAAGAAGTACTGCGGATTTTCCAGTATGTCATTTCTCTTCTGGAGCAAAGCCAGGCTCTTTGGAGATAAGTGAATGTTCTGCTCATGATAAGAGATAATAGGAACTATCAAGTGGTCCCAAAATAAACTGCTCTGAAAAGGCTGTTACTGCAAAGCCACAGTAACTGCTTGATGCTTGGAACACTGAGGGGTGCTTGTTACCTGTGGGAACATGTCAAGGAGGTACGCAATCATCTCCAGTGCAGATTCCCTTCCAGTTTCATACTCATACCTGTGAGAAAATGGTTAACAGTTAGGGCTGGGTTAATACTCTAGAAAGTTGCTAACAATTTAGAAGAATGGCCAATGCCAGAAACACATACTGACAGGGATCTTTCTACAACAGCTACTAGACCTGGTTTAATTCTTAGGAGAAGAGTAGCAGCAGGCCTATTGGCTCCATCTCCCAGAGAATGGGCACAGAGAAACACAAACAGGCGAAAAAGGGCTCCAGCCAGCTTGAGCCAGCACAGCTGCACTTGTGCGATGGTGCTGAGGAATATGATGAAACTTCTGTCACCTTGAACAAGGGAGAGGTCATGCTCAGAAGGAGGTTTCAGGCACACTGCTCCTGCTG